GAAAGAAATAGTTGATCTTAAAGAGAGTATGGAGTACTTACGTCACGAGAACGACAGGCTGAGTAACGAAGCGAAAGATGTGGGCAAGGATGTCAAGACACTCAAATCTAGGAGTAAGGAGCTCGGTGAAAGAGTTAAAGAATTGGAAGATGAAATAGAGGATCTAAAGACGAAGGATTTATATTTGGAAGCATACTCGAGAAGAGAGAACATTATATTTCGCAATATTGACGAACACCCATGGGAAAACACAGAAGCTAAGCTAAGAGAATTTCTAAAGGACGAATTGAAATACGAAAACTACGACAACGTGGAATTTCAAAGAGTGCATTATAGAAATCCGAGTAAATCTACACCAAGACCGATAATCGCAAGGTCCCTCCGATATAAAGACTGCGAGGATATGCTGGCTCTAGGAAAGAATCTGAAAGGGAAAAATTACAGCATGTTTCCTGACCTACCAAACGAAATCGTAAAGAGAAGAAAGCAACTGGTTCCTATTTTGAAAAAGGCAAAAGAAAACAAAATACCGGCATCGTTCAGCAAGGCTAAACCTGACAAATTGTTTGTGAGAGGAAAAGAATGGATTCTTGGTCAAGAACTGGATATGATTTAATAGACACTGTGGTTGTGAGTATTATACTGTCATTGATAAATCAGTAATATAAACAATCAGTAGGATTGGACTGACATAAATATTGAATATCTTAAAATAGCCTGTTTATAGATATTATTCTTAATGGACTATTGGATGCTCTTAGCTTTTTGTCTTTTGGGCCCAGAGAGTAAACAATCGGCAACACCGTTTGCAAAAAGTCAGCGTTATTTCTATCTATTGTGTTTGTGATTGTGTTTATTTTTGTTCTTGTTTTTGCTCATACTCTTATCACGACGATGTTTTTAGGAGCGTAAGTTGTAATGAGTAGTTTCGAGTTTCCAGTTTTATCGTTGAATGTCCGAGGACTAAGGGATTATCAGAAGAATAGGAAAATGTTTCATTGGCTGATAAAACACAATAGTGATAAAGGAATATCGTTTTTGCAAGAAACACACAGCACAACAGAAATAGAAAACGAATGGCATAAAAAAAAAGAACTGAACTTCACTGAATCTCACCGATGACAAGACGCCTCCAGCTAATATCAGGTCAGGATTTTGTAGATTTAGCCTGAAATATGAAGAGCTTTTGGACTGTTATCGACAACTGGAGGAAAAGTACGCCGTATTTGATGAAGTTGATAAGATTGCAAGACTAGAGGCAGATCTGGGACGAATCGAGACCTACCACTGCGTAAATTCTGTGATAATTGGCCGTTCAACTGTCTTCGCCGCTACACACAATCAAAGAACCACCACTTCGGACCATTACGACGATATTGACAAGAAAATAAGAGAGCAGGAGGAGGAAATAGCGAAAATCACGAGAGAGATCGAAAAAACCATCGAAGAATGTCGAGCCGGCATGCAAACGCCAATCGTACACAAGAAGATAACAACAAGAATCGTGCTCAACAACAAGGTCAAAATTTGGGAGCAAGAAGTGAAAATGTACCTACATCCACCGATGAAACAACACCAGATGACAATATTAACGAAATGACAATATTAACGAAAACGCCAATCGTACACAAGAAGAAGGAAACGAGAAGAATCGTAAAATATTTTGAAGTTGCAGCTAGGATGTTGCATGATAAAGAAAATTGAGTTGTCTCTAGCTTGAAAAAATCGTGCTCAACTACAAGGAGGATCGTGCTCAACTACAAGGTCAAAATATGGGAACAAGAAGTAAAAAAGTACCTACAGCCATCAATGGGAAAACATCAGGATCAAATGACAACATTAACGAAAACGCCAATCGTACACAAGAAGAAGAAAACAAAGAGAATCGTGCTCAACTACAAGATCAAAATATGGGAGCAAAAAGCAAAAAACAGTACCTACAGCCACCGATAGGAATACACAAGCATCAAATGACAATAAAGCATTTACAACTGATACTAACTACGTTTGAGTTACCTGTAGTTACATCCACGCCGATCAACCCACAGAAAACCTGGAAGAGCAGGGACAACAAGAGCAACACATATCTACACCTAGTAAACGTTCGATCGACACTTAGGACCAGCAACCAAAGCCAAAGGCAACAGTTACTTCATAGCTCGGTAGTAGTCAAATGTACCAAATATGTGTGGACCCCCTCAGGCTTTTGACGAGGGTGAGTATAACAAAATTCTCAGGCGATAAAAAGTCCTACGAAAGTTGGAAAGCGGCATTTTATGCCTGTGTCGATAAGACCAATGCATAAAATAAATAAAAAATAAATCGACTTTATTTTACGAGGGTAACACGTGACAGTAAAGAACTGATGAACTCTGTGGCCCTCACACTCACACTCACTACCTCTACATTAATTATTTTAGCACACAACACTCTTCACAYGTTGATTTTTGCTGAGGGAGGAAAACCGGAGGACCCGGAGAAAAACCCCCGTGGCAAGGGAGAGAACAACACATCAAACAAACTCAAACTCACATATGGTCCGTGCCCAGGAATCCAACCCGGACCACAGCGGTGAGAGGCCAGTAGCTTAACCACTAGACCACCCTTGCCACCAATCTGCTGAGTACAAGTTGTTACACATCAAGGAGTGCCTTCAAGGTGAAGCCTTAAGAGTCATTGAGAACCAGCGTATGAAGCTGCAAAATCAAGGCTAGATCGCAAGTATGGAGGAGTACGCAGGGCACTTACACTTCGCATGGATGAACTTAACAGCTYCAAACCTGTGCGCGATGTCTACGAAAAGAACATTTAGCCGAGCTGCTAGATGTTGTTGTTGTCAATTTGAAGGATGCCGGTCAAGATGCCGAACTAGGAAGTGGCTCTCTGTATTACACAATGCTGCGCAAGCTAAGTAAGAACCTACTCACCAAGTGTAATCAGTGGATCAGTGATAGAAATCGACAAGAGTCAGTCACCGTATTGCGAGAGTTTATCAATAGAGAATCACAGTTTCTCACAACAGCATCTGAAACCATCCTAGGATATCATAAGGAATTGCCAAGAAGAGAGAGACAAGCAACCGAGAGAACATTTGTGACCCAGCATGGACAGCCGGCTCAAACTACAGGAGATAAGAGTAGTGTAAAATGTGCTCCGGTTCCCATGGTCTTTGGGCCTGTGATAAATTCAAACAAATGTCTGTCAAAAAGAGATGGAACGTTGCTAAAGAAGGCAAAGTGTACTTTAGATGTTTTTCAGTGACACACCAAGGTAATAACTGTCCAAGGTCCAGAACATGCAATCTGGATTGATGTAAACGTACCCATCACCGGTTACTAAACGAGAGTCTGTGGTGAAACTCAGAAGTCAGCAATAACTGTTACACAAGAAGTTCCCCACGGGGGG